GGGCCCGGGCTCAGGGAGACGCCTCCCCCGCCAGCCTCGGTACACAGGCCCTGCCGCGTCTGATCCCTCCCCTTCCACACTCGGGAGCTCAGAGATTTTTTTACATTACATTTACAGCCAAGCTCACACTTGGAATCCCACCCTCTCACCAACCCGAGATAGATTACCATGGAAACCAGGATAAAGGAGAGGCAGAGATAAACACCTTCCTCTCAGGCCCCGGACGCCAGCTCATCGGCTCCTCCCTCCCACGCCTGCGGTGAAAGCGCAGGAAAGAGCCTGTTAGCACGGCGGGTCCCTCGTCCTGTCCCCTCGGGAGCCTGTGCAGCAAATGCCTGAGACCACTGTCCACGAGGGCTCCCCCAGAAGTCTTGTGCTGTCACCACACTGCCAACACAGCGGAGACACGGCAGGTCTGACAGTCAGGGAGGCCAAGTGTGAGACCAAGAGAAGACCTGTGTGGGTGACCCCGGGCAAGGTCCCCACCTCTCTGACCCTGTGTCCTTGTCTCATGATGGGTCTAACACTGTCACTGACTCCGCAGGGGTAATTCCGGGGATTAGAAAAGGCAGCTCGGTAAAACACTTATCACAGAGCCCCGCACCTAACACCCCTTCCTAAGTGTGAAGCATTTCTGTTATTATCCAGCTCTTGGGTAAGGAAGCCCTTCATCCACCAAGTCACCGGTTTCTCACCCATAAAAGAGAGAGGTGGGGAGGAGGCAGGACGGCCTGACTCTGGGAAAGCCCTCCTAGCTCTGGCGGTTGTGGTTCTGCGCTGTGTTATGGTGACGGGGCCTAGGAGGAGGTACAGGACTCTAAACACGTCCTCCCGGGATTTGGAGACCAGACCCTCCCAGGAAGGAAGCTTGGTGGAAGCACCGCTCCTCTGGATTATATCCAGGGAAGGGAGTCGGCCCTCAGCTGCCACCGCTTGCTAGCCGGCCTTGCTAAGCCTCAGCCTCCGCATCTGTCAAATGGGCCTACTCCAAGGGGTTGTTTCGAGGAGTACGTGAGCTGGCTCTTGTAAGGTGCTCAGCACGGTGCCCAGGCACAGCGAGGGCTTGTCCAGTGCCGGCTGGCAATACGATGGGATCCAGAAGAAGTGAGTTCACTCTGCAAAGCTGTCGAGCCACTTGGCCAGCCCTGCAGGTGGGCGGGAGGGCGGGGCCTGTATCCTGGGTGTGGGAGCTCCAGCATCACCCACCAGCACGCGGTCCCCCAAGGGGGTCTCCCCGCGCCTGGGCTGCAGGGGGGCCCGGGGGGCCCCATCTTACCAGGCCGAGGTTCAGAGCGTTGTTGTCATCCTCCGGCATGGGCAGGTACACGGCCAGGGCCACACAGTTGGCAAAGATGGTGAGTAAGATGATTGTCTCGAAGGGCCTGGTTCTAGGGTTAAGGAGAGTGTGGGGTTTGCAGGGTTAAGAGGAAGAGAGTGCTGGGGGTCAGTCTGGACTGTGACTGTGATGCTGGGCTGACGGGCTCTGTCCCTACAGTCTTGCAGGGTATAGAAAGTGCCAGGCTCCCACCGGGGGGACTTGTCTCCCTCTCCTCAGAAACAGCTAACTTCCACTTAGATGCTTTGGGACCAGGAAGCTCTGGTCCCCGGCTGGGGGCTACTCAGCTTTAAGGTCCAGGGAAGTCTTAACCCTCTGTTCTAAGGCCTGCCCCTAACCCTGCTCCCACCTGCGTCCTCCAGAGGAGCCAGGACTTTCTGAGGCTCCGGCCGGACAACCTGCGGGCTCACTCAGAGAAATGGCAGGAGAGGCTGTGGGCTGGTGCAGGTTTGGGCTAGGTACCCACAGAGCAGGCCTGGGAAAGGGAAGAGAGAGAGATGGAGCCTGCATCTCAGAGCCCGAGGAGGGACTGGATGACCCACCCGATCAGTGCCGCACGCTGGTGTGCACACCTCGAACCCACTCACACAGCCCCTCCCAGACGCTCCCACCCCACACAGCGATTTCCAGAGGGCGCCCCGGCCCAGTCCTTTCTTGATCTGCTGGTGAGCAGCAGGGGCCAATCAGAGAGGCTGACCACTGGGAAGCTGGTGTGGAAGGAGGGGAGGGAAGGAACGGAGGAGAGTGTGCGGGTGTGTGTGTGTATGTGTGTGTGTGGATGGGTGGGGAGAAGCACACCGTGTAGATGGGTTTGATTGGAAACCCCATTCCCTTCCCAGCAACCTCCAGTGTTTGAGAAGAGAGGTGGCCACCGGACAGAGGCCTGCGAGAGGAGAAGGCACAGAGGAGCAGAGATGGAGGAGAGAAAGAGCCCGCTGGGTGAACGGAGCCCCAGAAGACAGGCAGGAGGGGAGGCAGCGGGAGGTCCAACGGGCTGAGCGCAGCTTGGGGAGCAGGGCGGACTCTGACCCAAACTATTCCAATCTGGTCCTATGTGCTTCTTTCCCTTCCTATACTCTTCCCTTGCTTATCTCATGCTCTGCTCTCTTCCAGGGAACAGCTGCTGGGAGCCTGTTCTTCCAGAACACTTCCCACATATTTCAAATGTTTCTCACCCTCTCTCTTAGGACCCACTGGACGTGGGCCTCCCCACCTCTCTCTAGCTCCTTCCTCCCTTCCCCAAATAGCCCAGATATTTTCATCATTCTTCCTCCCATAGCTAACGCAAACAGAGTGATTTCAAACCCCCAACCCCGGGCTGGTGCGTCTGAGCTAAAACAGCCAGGCCTGCTCCTGGGCGCCCTCCACGGCCGGCCTCGTTCCAGCCCATTTCTCCTCCATCCTGGCTGGGATTTTCCCTGGGGGAAGAGTGGAAGCCTTCCTCGGCCCTCACCTCCCTCTTCACTTTTATCCCCTCCCTTCGAGATGGGGGATGTTTTTGCAGAGGCCACTGCTTTCTTCTTCCGCATCCTATATCAAAAGGGCGCTGCTGCTTCAAAAACCAGAGAAGTGGCCCACGATAACGTGGATTTGGGCTCAGCTGGGAACAGCCCTGGGGAACATCCCAGCCCCTTTCGTAGAGGTCAGTGGGCATCTCAGGCTGCCCCCAGGCCTTGGGCTGCACACTCAGGCCCCAGAAGCCCATCAGTTCCTCCTCCTCCTCCTCTGGTCCCCCTCAGTTAGGGCTTCCTTCCCAAAGGCTCCTCACACTGTCTGGGGCAGTCCACCCTGTCCCTAAGTCCTCAGTCCCCCTGGCTCCCAAAGTTTGCAGTCTGTGACCACCCCCTGCCTCCCTCTCCCACACAACCCATGTCCTCCCTGCTGCCCTGGCCCTAAAGGATACTTCCATTCCACGATGCTGATGCAGGCCTTCCTCAAGGGGTTCTGGAGTGTCAAGCAGAACAAGGCCCGGGGCGGCCTGGGCAGAATCTCAGGAACAGGCTTCTTGGGCTGCTTCTTCCTCAGGCCCTCATCCTGGGGCGAGGACGGCTCCATGGCTCTCCTGGCAGCCTTGCTCTCCTGGCTCCCCCACCCCACTGCCCTCTCCTCCCTGTGTCCCCAGCGCCCCCGCCTTGGGGACTGGCGGGCTAAGCCTGCCAGCCAAGCCTGCCCTGCTGAGCCAGAGGGGCGGGGGCTGGAGGATTACTTTCCCTGCTCCCAGCGAGTAAAATTACCCTCCACTCGGCTCTCTCTGGCCGGCCCAAACACCCGAGGCCAGGCAGCTGTCATTCCTGCCCAGCCCAGCCAGTGACATCCCAATATGTCCCCGAGGGGGAGGGAACTTCCACACGGGCCTGGGATGGAGCACTGATGGGGCAGCTAGAGACAGGATGGAGGGGTTCAAGGCAGGGGAGATAGAGAGTTTGGGAAGGGGGAGCTTAGGATATGGAGCCTCAAACTTCAGGCTGGCTCCCTCGGGCCCAGCTGAGCTTTCTGCCCCCTGCCCCGTGGCACCAGCCAGGCAAGGTGCTGGTGGCCCAGCTCAGCACAGCTCCACGGCCCCACATCTCAGGACCTGCAGCTCCCAGGCCAAGCCTCCTGCCCACCGCCACCCCCATGCACACGCATGGCAGGGGAAGCTCACCTCTCCCCACTGGGGTGGAGGCTCCGGAAGACCCTGGAACCTGCACACCTCCAGCAGCACCGGCCACACTGCGTAGTGACTGTGTACTTTGTGCTTAACTGTGCAGGGTGGTGTGTGTCTCGGGGACGCTTGCCCTCCAGGCACTGTCCCTGGCACACACGTGTGAGCTAAGGGAACACCCCCCCCACACACAGCAAGTGCTCTGAGATGGGAGCTGGAAGGAGTAGGGGTGCGGGGTAGACGAGGGTCGACAACCACCTAGGAATCACAAAAGTCAGCAATCTTTTATTCAGCCCCTTGGAGCAAACACAGCGCCAATGTATCCATATGCTCCCGCAGCCCACAGAGACTACAGGTCCAAGGGAAAAAGGAGGAAACGGGCACCCTGGGGGGGGGGTGGTGATCGCCCTCCATCGAGGCAGCCAGAGAGCGCCACCCGTGTACACGGATGTCCTCTTCCTCCGTCAGTCGGTTCCACCTGGGCGGAGCGCAAGCAGCAGTCCCGCCTCCCACCTCCCGCTCTGGGCTCCTCTCCGCAAGCTCCCGAGAGGACACTAGCCTTGGAGGCCATCTGGTGGAGAGCGGGGCATAGCACATCCGAACCAAAGCGCGGCTCGCCTCCCGGGGATGGCAGACACCGGGCCTGTGGCCACGGAGGACGGAGCAGGGCCACCACGGTTGGCTGTGCACAACCAGGAGCTGGGTTCCCACTTTCCCAGCGCGGGGCTGAAGCAGAGCCGGAGCCAGACCCAGGGACAACCGTCCCGGGTTGTCCTCCTGCGGCCTGGAGGGGGCGCGGCGCGCATCCGGAGCTTCCCCGGTCCTGCGCCCTCACCGCAGCCCCGGGCTCCCGGGTCTCTATAGCGCCCCTCGTACTCCTGCCCTGCACCCCTGCCCCAAGCGGGAAGGGAGGAGGCCGGTGGTGGCGGTGGGGGAGGGAGGGTGTCGCCGCGGATCTCCAAATGTCAGGGTCCCGCCGCACTGCGGGGGACCCCCGAGCCCCGGGCGGCCACGGCGCGGTCAGTGGCCCGATTCCTCCGACTCAAAGAGCGGCGCGGAGGCGAAGCGGGAGGCGTCGGGAGTCTCAGGCGCCAGGGCGGGGGGCGCGCCGGCGGGGGCCGCGCTCAGCAGCTCCTGCAGGTGCTTGATGTAGCGGATGGCGGCGCGCAGCGTCTCCACCTTGCTGAGCCGCTTCTCAGCCAGCGCGCCCGGCAGGTGGCCGCGGAGGCGCGCGTAGCCCTCGTTCACACACTTGACCCGCTGCCGCTCGCGCTCGTTGCGCTTCTGGATGAAGGCGGGCTCGAAGGGGCAGTCGTAGACCCCGAAGGCGCCGGGGAACGGCGCGTAGGGGAACACGCCCGCGTAGGCCTCGTAGAAGGGCGGCTCGGCCGCCCCCGGGTACAGCAGGAGGGGCACGCCGCCCAGGGGATCAGCGGGCGGCAGGGGCGCCTGCCGCCGAGGGGGCGCGACGCCCAGCTGCATGCAGCCGGGGGGCGCCATGGGCCGCCGGTCCACCAGGGCCCGGCAGAAGTTATTGCTCATGGTGCCGCGTGCCCTCCCCGATCGCCGCTGCTTGGGGTCTGCGCGGTCCTGCCCGCGGGCACGAGTCACATGGCCAGCAGCAGCTCTGGGGGACCGGACTTGCTAGGGCTCCTTTTCGCCCTTTGGGGTGGCTTCCGCGGTCTCCCTAACGCGAGCCATCGCTCCCATCTCGTGAGGCTCGGCGGGGACCCTCCAAACCAGCCCGTGGCGCCCAGAACTCCGGGGCCCTCGCGCTCCTCCGCACCTGCCTCCTCCGGCGGCCCAGCGTGGGCGCCTCCCACGGGCGCTAACCCTGGGGCTCCATGCCCGGCCCCCCGCCCGGTTCTCCTTCCTCGCGGCCTTGGGGATCCCCAGGCGGCCGGGGGGCCGGGAACTGACGGCCGCTGTTAGGAGTGTGCCAGCTCCGCAGAGGGGTCCCGGGAAACGTTTCTGAAGAAGAGGAGAGTGAATATATGATTAGGAAAGACCTTGTGTTGTGGGCTCCTTT